GTATTAAAACAATTGTTGTGTTTCTGGACACTATCCATCGTTCTGTTTTTATTTTAAGCACAGAACGTTTCGGAGACTGGGTTATGTATCCGTCTTCACGTGGAACCCACTCAGTTGGCCCCAATCGATAGAGCTAGTACACATCTCTGGACCAGTCCAGAGATGGAGTCGTGTTTTAAATAAAACCACGACGATGGGTAATGCCCAGAAACACAATGACTATATGAGGGAACTATATTGACACTCACGACGTGCAGTGGTAGACTCAAAGCATGTGGCATTGCGGGTATGCAAGTACCGTGTATGTAACTGCGGATTTGTCTATGAGGGCGCTACAGCTATATCGAAGAGGATTTATTATTATTATTATGAGCCGGGATAGGGCAGTCGGTATAGCGACTGCCTACGGGCTAGACGACCGAGGGGTCGGAGTTCGAGTCTCGGTAGGGCCAGAATTTTCTCTTCTCCATATCCTCCAGACCGACCGACTCTGGGGCCCACCCAGCCTCNTTATTATTATTATTATTAATATTATTAACTGCTTTGTGTTCGTCTTTCAACATGTTGGTGTGATTATATGAATACATGTAAAAGTCTTATTTACATTCATAATCCGGCTTTAGGGCGCGGCATTGATTCCTCCGGTTCAGAACAGGCCCTTTCGAACGCGGTAATACATCACAGAAGTTCATTAAATTCAAGCGGGTGGTACGAATTGCAGTCGGGTCATTATAATTAATTTGACTAAAAAGTTAAATTTGCTCGACAACGTTCAATACAGAAGCCCAGCATAAAATTGACTTGAAGTCCAGTCATTAGCTACTCAGATTAAACACGCGGGCGGACACGAAGTTCCATTTACTTCGTACACAGACTGTATAACAAGTCATACTGTAGGTCTGCTGAAATTAACAGACCGCTTTGCACAACGTATTCCGTAAAAATCTGAGAATAACTCGAGACCACCATGTCTATATCGAGTGACGTTAAGTGGGATCATAAATAATTCTTCACTTTCCAGAAAACCACTTCTATTTTCGTTCTTCCCATGAGAATGCGTGGGATGACAAGCCCGAAACGGAATTTACGTTCAAGCCTCTCAAGGCATGAAACCATGCTTCAGTAAAGTCACGGTACCGTTACCCCAAGAGGCTACCACGCTACCATGTCTGCCAAGGAGCGGTTATTTCCGAAGGTAGATCCCAATCCCAGTGACCGCGCGGTCTAAGTCATGAACTGTTTTCGCTCCATCAAACACTGGGATCGTGGGTTCGAATCCAACTTGAGGCATGGATGTCTACGTAAGTTTGCGCAGATAGCGGCCTTTCTACGGGCTATTCCCATTCAAGGTGTCCTACCGACTATGTAAAAGGTCAAGAAACTGAAACAGTGGCCAAAGTTCAACGAAGGGCTGTATAACCATAGATACAATACAGACATTTCGGGAAATTGGCCAATTTCAAACGTATAAAGCATGTAGACAGACATTGGTCGTATAGGTGTTCCCTTCCTTACAGAAGGAGAGGTCCCTAGGTCTAAGTAAATCTCAAAGTTTTACATTCTTCGGCCCATACGTCATTTTGTCAAAAAAAGAACCATCATGGTAAAAACAAAGCTTCTCTTGTATCCAGAAAGTGTATTTTTACAATGACGTACATTCTACTGTTGTATTAGTCATTCATTAATGGAAGTTCTGTTATACGAGAGCTCATGACCCTCCCGCTCGATCGTAAAGTCCCTCCGTTGAAGAACGCTTCTCTATTGCGTAAAATATCAATATAATTTGCCTCCGACTGTTACGCGCTTTCTGTCCAGTTTGATGCGTGTTCTTGGTACTCCTCCGAGGATACTTAACAATATACTGTCACGTGTTTATGGCTTCGTAACTAACAATACCGGGTTTTAGATTGGATTTATTAACACCTTCTTGTGCAATCTCTCTTAATCACAATAAATTATAATTCACAAAAAATCTTCAGCCTAACCCTTCTTCCTTGACTGCCGGGGCTCACTCCATTCTCGTTCTACGACTAGACTACTTATATAGTGTCGAGGCGGATCCACAGAAAACACATCCGTTGCCAGGAATGGATATATGCGAACCACACAGAAAACATCTCTTCCTCTATTGTATTTACATTATGTTGCATAAAAACGAAAGTTATCCCATTGTGGCCTGCGTATTCGATGTCGCGGGAATGTGTTTACCAAGTCGTTGCCCAGCAACGGGTCTACACGTCACAATATGTCTACCATTTGTGTGAAGAATTCCTACATACATTCTGGGTGACATCCAGACAATACTACCGGCCACATTTTGATGACAGGTGGGCGAATACACGAGGATTCCGGAGATGGCAGTCGGCTAGTATACCAAGAATGGAAAACACGAAGGACACTTCAACACAAACGTCTTTAATGAATTACAGTTATTTCTTTCCTGATATCTTAGGTATAACTATAGTCGGCAAATTTAATGTCCGTAATATCATACCCGCCGGTCACGGTAGCCGAGTCGTCCGAGGCATATTTCGTCTTCGTTCGCTCGGAAGCCGGGATCGTGGGTTCGAATCCCACACAAGACATGGATGTTTAGTATGTGTTTCTTCTGTGTTTGTGTTGTCCTGTGTTTAAGTAGAGGCCTTACGACGAGCTGATCACTCGTCCAAGGAGTCCTACCGTCTGTAAAATGATCGTGAAACTGAAAATCTGAGTCCAGAGCCCGGGAATTTAAACATAAAATAGGAATTGTACGCCTAGCTCTTTGTGCTTTAATCAAACAGTAAGTACATTTTTAGAACTCGTGGCTTACAAACCACTGCCTGCTTCTGAAGTCCTTGCTTTAAAGAACATCAAACTTCTGAAAAGTTTCAAACATCAGCGTTCCAACACAACGCGAACGTAACAATTATCAGTCATGTGTAAAAGAAAGCAAGCCTACAGCGATAGCACCTCAACAGGTATGCTTTCGTAACATTTTTGGTGAAATAACAACACTGCCTACTTTATAAATCCCTCCGCTAAGATAAGGAAAAGTGATAGCTGTTTCGTTACAAAACGAAATAATATCAATTACGAACGAATTCGGCTTTCATACCGGGTGTAGCGCTTAATTAACCTCTTCTCGCCAAGGCTCCGCCGCTATGAGTGGAATTCATGAGCTCTGCAATGCTCAGCTCGGGGGGGCTGGAAAGTACAGCTCATCCAATATTTTGGGGTTTCTCTGTTCACCACTGCGTCCGTGAGATCCGCAACATTCTTTCTCCGTGAAACTAACCACACAATCCCATCTAATACCGAGTGAGTAATACAGATAAGATTCCATTTTGAAAAATTGATAAAAACTAGACATTTTAGAATATGAACTCGTGAGCCGGCAAGGTATGGGAATTGCTGGTTCCGGGACGTGTGATTCTTCGATTCAATGCAGGTGTCAGTTATTTCTCTCCAGTACGTTCAGACAGACTCAAGGCCCACCCCGAGTACCGAGGGGTGAAGCGGCCGTTGGTGTATGAAACTGACCGCAAAGGCCAAACATGTGGGGAGCTATTACCTCCACTCCACCTATACGCCTTCATAGCGTGTTATGTTGTCACTAAGTCAACTTGGAACTTCGGCATCACACATCCAAACTCCTCGGTACTTAGGCACAGGGCCAATTTTACCAACATGAGTGCATGCAGATTAAGCATTGCTGCGAATTTTCACAGCACGAGGGCAACTTAAAAACGCCTCTTTAAGCTAGAACAGTCTGTCGATGAACAAACATATTTCGAGAAAAAAGTGCGCTGTTGTACTAGCGAAGTTATGGCAAATTAGGGTATGTAACTTATTTTCAAAATGTGGTCAGCAGGAATAATCTTATACGGCGACACTTGTCGGTGAATTCGAGGTTTATTTACATTCTCAGCCTCGCTACTAAGCGCGGGGGTCAGCAACACTTTCTGGGAGTCAGCCGTAGCAGAAAAAAAAATTACCGTACGCATCGGATAGGAGGCTGGGTGGGCTTACCTGAAGTTACTAGAACCACACAATAAGCCATTCTAACATACGAGATCCCCTAAAACTCTGCAGTCTGTCGACACAGCGTCTTTGTTTCGTGTGAAGTGAACAGCGACTGTTTCCCTAAACAGCATCAACCGGTTCGTAACGTTTCTTGCGAGGTATGAACTTAATTTTTATATATTGCTTACAATATATTCGGTCTTAAAAGAGTTTTTTATTGCTAGTGGGGTGGGACTAAGTCCCTTGAAATGCGGCCACTTCTGGCCTATTGTACCAGCACCAGATGATAGGTGAGGGTGATTGTGGAGCAATTGGTGTAATGAAGATTGGCAGGGGGAACCTAAGTACTGGGAGAAAACCTGCCCCTGCGCCAGTTTGTCCACCATAAATCCCACTTGGCCAGACCTGGGATCGAACCCGGGCCGCCGCGTTGGGAAGCCAGCGACTAACAACTTGAGCTGTGACGCGCCCTTCTTCAAAGAGTTAATCTGTCAGTCTGGCATGCGTCAAGACATGTAACAGTCAAGACACGATGTCTGCGACATGACGCAAAGAAAGGAGCACGGTTGAAACGAATGAGATCATGAAAACCGCCGTACACCGGTCTGAGTCATGATGCTGACGAATCTCGAATGAAGCAAGACTGCGTCTTTTGTCTCATGTCTTGATGCTTGTCTTGACGCAGTTGGTGTGCGGCCGCCCTAAAACATCTGGTCGCCGTACTGCAAAGTGCACAGTGCTCTCTATACCAATCCGTATTCCTAATAGGCTAGAGGATAGATTACGGTAGTTTAGTTTAGTGTCGTTGCATTTACATTTGCTTGACGTTATGGTTCTACTGTGTCTAATAAATACAAACAGAACATTAATTCTTGCAATGAGTCTTGCGGTACACGATTTCGTACGGAAACACCGACACCGCATTGTACAGTTCGCACGATTCGCTGGATCAGGCAATTCTAATGGATTAAAAAAAAGATGGTCACTGCACTCACCGATCTGCAGCGCCTCGCCATACTTTGTCATGGCCGCGTCTACTTCGTTCCGCTGGAAGAGCTCATTGCCCTCTTCCCGGAGTCTTGCAGCACGAACTTCTTCAGGCCACCATTTCTCGGATAATCCTTTCATCAATACGTTCGTTTCTAGTACACCACTCGCGATCTTCTGACCACACTGCCTACAGCTTCTTGAAGCATCCCGCAACAAACACCTGCGACAGAAAGTATGTCCACACGCTGTTGTCACCGGCTGCAGAAGAATTCCTTCACATATCCGACATTCAAAACCTCTTGCTGGAGACGAACTCGGACCTGCTGTATTAGCAATTATGGCGTCTAACAGAGCTGTTGCTAAATGTCGAAGCTTTTCTTGGGTCACAAAACCACCATCATTACCACTCTGTAGCCGACTACAATGCGAGAAAACATCCAAAGCTTCCCGTAATCTCCCACATCTCGCCAGCGAATTCCCGTATCCGAAATTAAGCTCTACACTTGTGTCTTTTTGTTTTAAACATCCTTCATGTATTTCCGCTGCCAGCCTGTAATTCCTACTCGTAAATGCATCTCTACCCATCTCAGCCATGATCTGCGCTGTTTTCTTATACTGCACATGTACAGATATGATGCAGCTATGTTAAAATTGCAAATTGTTTTGGCGGAACCTCGTGTTGTTGTTGTCTGGCCGCCATTACGATTAAAACACAACCTATCGCTCCAACGAGCGACTGCAGACTGAAGCTCTGCGCCAAGCGCGCGGGAGAGGTTTCCACGCCGCTACGGAGCTGTGTTGTTACGTAAAGGTCACGTTCCACAGCGGAGCTGCTAACGATAACAGAGGGGTCCATCACCCCCACGGCATCTGCAGTCGCTCAATAAACACCACGCAGGCGCACCAGCCTCTGAAATCAACACAGCATACATTATTTCAGGAATTATAAATAATTCTGCACTATCCCTTTATATTAACGATATATAAAGTAGATATTCTTCCATGTTCAATGGATCAAAAATCTGATGGTTCATGTAGAGATCCAATAAAATTGAATGATTCATGTTAACGACGCTTAATCAGCTCCATAAGTTATATAGTGCCAAACAATACTGCGCCTTTGAATTACGAAAGAAATGGAAAGTGATGAATCAAATGGATACAGAAGGCATATTTTAACTTATCTAACGATAACTGACAGATGTTCGATTCCCGGCAGAGGCAGAAATAATTCTCTTCAGCAGTACGCCCAGATCGGCTCTCAGGCTCATGAAGTGGCACCTGGGGGCTCTTCACTCGAGGGTAAAGCAGCTGCAGCGTGAAACTGAAACCACTTCCATCTGGTGCCGAAATTAGAATAGCGTCCACCCCTTCACACATCTTCGCGGTGTATATTCAAGCAAAAGAGTAAATTCTACATCGTCAGCTGCATAAATGCACTCCTGCAGGGTCACAAGTGGGCATGAGTATGCATGGCGAGCTGGAAAGTATGTGGAAGGAAGCGATCGAGCCTGTTCTGTCATTTGATTCAGCGACACACAAGATATTACACAGCAGATAGCTTTATGAATTATACATGCTGAGGTATTTGAGACGCCATCCCGGCAGCTGCCTAGAAGGAATGGGAAAATACAGGAAACTACATTTAGGATTTTTTATTGCTAGTGAGGTGGGACTAAGTCCTTTGTGCTGCGGCCACTTTTGGTCTATTGTGCCTGCCCCAGATGATAGGTGAGGGTGATTGTGGAGCAATTGGTGGAATGAAGATTGGCAGGGAAAACCGTAGTACTCGGAGAAAACCTGCCACAGCGCCACTTTGTCCACCACAAATCCGACTTGACCAGACCCGGGATCGAACCCGGGCCGCCCCGCTTGAGCTATGGCGCATCCTGCATTTAGGATAGTCAGTATCTAGGCCTAAATTCAAACTTTCCAGATCTGCTAACCCTTATATCAGATATTTTGAACATTTTCCAACTCACGGCACACTGAACAAGGCGCTAAAATTGTTCAGGCACACCATCAGATTTTTGAAAGACAGGTTTTATCATTAAAAGAGCGAGTATTTAGACTGTCTTTAAAAGCTCAATAGCTAAAATTCTAATCTTTGCGTTATTTCTTAAAAATAATGTTGATCGTGGATTTCAAAATATTTAAATTTTAAAATTTACGTTTATTTTTGTTATTATTCCAAATATTGAAATGATATATTATTGAAAAAGATGTAATTTAAGAAATCCTATGACGTACTCCACTGGGCTCAAAAAAGTGCCCCCTCCCCTTGCCTCCCTGTCCCGTGCCCCCTCCTTTTCACAGTGAAATAATGAAAAATCAGGCTTTGAATAAAACAGACTGCTTTATGATGAAAAAATTTAATGCTATGTTTTTTCTGTGTACAATAAGCATAAAAAGGACAAGATTTTTAGATATAAACACGAGCAGAAATAAGGTAGCTTTACGTAAACATAAAAATATCAGTGGAAGCCTGTGCGTGGTGATGCCTCATGAGGTCCCTTGTCCGAGGTCGGATGGTTGACAAGCATACCCACAAGTCCTCCTCCAGTGCTTGAAGCCGCGACCTGTTCATAGCAGAGAAGAGCGGCCTCACACAGATACGACGTAGAGAAGGAAGGAGCGCTTCAATCACCGTCTCTGTGATGATGGGGTACTCCTGTCGGAGAGACAACCAGAATGAGGCCGTATCTGGTGGTGAATGCTTCCATTTTGGTCTCCTGTCCTTTCTTATTTCCGTCAGCTCATCTTCTTCTGCAACAGTTAGTTCTGCTGGCTCGAACGCACTTCACAACGGATCTCTCATCCTTAAAGTGAAGGGAAATACTTTTCGACGTTTTTACTCAGCAATGACAAACTTTGTAGAATTACGAGCATATTGACAAGATTTCTGTCCAGTCTGCAAATTTGTCAGCCCAAACATTTCAACTTTGTTATCTTTTTAGATTCTGGCTCCCGACAGTGTCAGTTTTTCCTTAAAAGAGTTAATTTTGTCAGTACAAGTAATAATATCTTCACTCGTCAAGAATGGCTTGGCCTTCTGTCGTTTCTGGGAGTGGTTTGCAAAATAAAAATTGTTCGATAATGTCTCCACTACAACCAAGCCTGCTGAGTGCTACGAGTTGAGCTCTTCCAGTGATGTCAGTCGACTCGGCCAAATGGTTGGCAAAACAAATCGGTTTCTTTAATGTCGGCTACCACTTGTGACTCCACGTCTTGAAACATGTCTTGCATACGCCAGCTAACACTGTTATCTGACATAAGGATTTTCAAAATCTCTTTTTCATATTCCTCGCCAAACATGATATGAATATTTAGAATTGTACAGCATGCTGGTAAAATTACTGACTCGGCAATTTTATGTGATTTCATCTATTTTGCCACGAGTTCGGCAACGGTTTAGCTTGCTTCTTGAGCTCTTTCAGAAACAGTTGTGATTTCGGTCCGCTGTTCAGCCTGGTGTGTTTGATAACTATAGGCCTTTCAAAATATATTTAATTGGTATCTCGCATAAATATGAGTGCTTTGTGTGAAGGTGTTTTTTCAGCTTACTTGGAACCATAGTTAGTTTGCCCGTTTCACGTGACAAACAACACACTTAGACGTGACTGCTCCTCATCAGTTGAAATTAATCTGAAAGACAAATAATCTTCTTATATTGGTGCACGACGATTTCAGAACTAACATTAACCGTATTATGTGATACTACCAAAACTAGTACCAGCCACACTTGATTCATTGTAATAGTCTTACTTTCGTTTTCTGATTATGAATCTGTGCATGTTCAATAAACCCTAAAGAAATAAAGATTAAATAAATGTGTAAATAAGAAATAACTAAAACCATAAAGAAATAACAAGCAAAATTGCATTAGCTTAGGCTGGGGCCACACGAGCGCATGAAGTACGTCCGTTGCAACGAACGTACTTTATGACGGACGTTCCTGAGGACACCACACAGTTGCAGAATGCGGTGCGTAGTTTTTGTCTGCAATGGCGCCAGAAGAAAGTGTAGCATTCGCCTCTCTTGTTTATTTCTACAACGGACGTTACAACGTTCGTTAGAACGGACTCATTTTGTGCGCTCGTGTGGCCCCAGCCTTAAACTCACACGGAATAACACACCCTACCCGAACAACAGCTGACTGAAGACCGACACTGGTGGCTTCACAAGAGTGAAAGATGGAGTGGTAAAAGTACATTGGAGAGTTTGTCTGAGATCGGGAACATTAGGGACGTAAGTTCTTAAAATTTTACTGGAGTAACATTTTTATTGCACTGCTATTGTTTTCATTCTTATCAGTCTTTTATGATAAATATACAGTATTTCTAAAATTTACCTCGACGAATTTTTTATTACTGTTTTTTCTCGCTTCTTTTCGACCTTCCCCCAACCTCCCGCGGCAAACCTGCGGACGCTCCGCGTAACAGCAGTGTGCCGCGGCATCCCGGTTGAAAATCACAGCCTTACATAAACGACTTTGTTATGCAGCAGCCCTGATTATGACTTACGGACCAACCTTGTGTTGAAATGCAGGCGCTTAACGTTACGTATAACGATCTACAATTTTATTTATACTAATTTCGTTCAGTTTATCGTGACCGTATAAAATAAACAGTGCAAAGATGATTTTTCCGAAACTCCCTTTTCTGTTTTCCATACCTGTGCAGCTCTGATGCATATCTATCGCCCATGTATTTCCACTGTCCCAGCGCGTAGACAGAAACTGCTTGCACTTTATTCTATTTTGTTTTAGATTCCTGTAAGGGGTATACTGCCGGTCACGGTAGCCGAGCGCTCTAAGGCATGCACTGTCTTCGCTCGCTCGGAAGCCGGGATCGTGGGTTCGAATCCCACTCAGGGCATGGATGTTTGTGTGCGTTTTTCTGTGTTTGTCTACAGGTAGAGGCCTTGCGACGAGCTGACCACTCGCCCAAGGAGTCCTACCGTATATGTAAGATTTAGAAAAACCGAAGTGAACGGAGTTCATGGAGGTAGGCCTAGGCCCACTGGGGCTGTAGTGCCAAGGGGAAAAAAGGGGGGGGGGTATACTGGGCCAACACGAACTACAATTTTTAGTGGTGATATACTCACTCACTCATGGAGCTGAGCCTTTCTTGAGAAGCCGCCAACTACGCAACTACTCAAGTATTTCCCAGCATTTTATGGAACCCGAAAGTTCATTACTGTGTTCACAAGAGCCCTCCACTGGTCCCTATCCTGAGACAGATCAATCCAATCCATATCATCCTATCTCTCCAAGATCCATTTTAATATTGTCCACCCACTACGCCTTGGTCTACCCAGTGGTCTCTTTCTTTCTGGCCTTCCCACTAATATTCTATACATATTCCTCTTCACCCCATTCGTCCTACATGGCCTGCCTACCTCATCCTCCTTGACTAGATCATTCTAATGCTGATACGACAGTTATTAAAATCCGTCCGGGATTTCCGAAGACGAAACATGCGAACATCATTTCCATTTCAGGCGTTCACTTCGAGAAAAACAAGTAAACGGTGGTCTTCGCCAGTTTGGTTCCGCTTCGTCTTACTCCACCTCAACCTTCTGCGCGTTGTATTACTTATGAGAGAAACATGGCTTTCTGCGCCTTCTTCCTCTTCGGCAACCCCTATGAACTGGGTCCTTTCGCCTATTCCAATTCAGAATTAGCTTACGAAATTATGAATCGTATGGACGCCTGGGTGACCGCCTCTGTGGTCTAGTGGTCAGAATTCCTGGCTACAGATCCAGAGGTCCCGAGTCCAATTCCCGGCGCTACCAGATTTTCTGAGAAGTGGATCTGGAACGGGGTCCACTCGGCCTCGTGAGGATAACTGAGTAGCTATTTCAAGGGAACAGCGGCTGTGGTCTACAAAAACTCAGAATAACGGCCCTGGGGATCCGTTGCGCTGACCACGCGACACCCTCTATCCGCTAAAGTTGGCACTAACTTCGCCGACAAGCGGCGGTCACTCGGTCTGTACAGTTCGCTTGCGGACTAAAGCCATGGAGTTTCTTTTTGTATGAACGCCTGGGTATGACTATTCGGATGGGAGATCGGCCCATCGCAAGACGTCTACCTACACACAATACAAACGCAGAGAGAGCGCGAACATACATCCATGCTCCCTCTATCCCAGTGGTGAAGCGGCCGAATATAATACACCCCTAACACTTCAGACCACTGTGACAATCATGAAACACAGCCATGTGCTCAGAATGTTTCGTTGAAAGTAGCAGGAATATTTGGAATCCAAGGGGGCAAGGCAAAAAAATTGATGGGCGAAGAATGTGTTCTTGGTTGCAACGCCATACATTTCGGAAAAAAGCAGACGTTTCGGAGGAACAAATTGTCTCAATCTTCAGGGTCGAAGCGTAAGCCAAGCAAGAAATTAGCAAGAAGTAGGTGTCAAGCAAGCTCATCTGTCATCAGCTGAGACATACTATCTACGTTGGCACTTATATATTTATTTATTTATTTATTTTTGACTTATTTAATTACTGTCGGTGGCTCAGGTTATAAAGCATCGAACGGTAGGACATCGGGAATAATGTGGATGTAAGCTATCGTGGTATATAAGATTTGAGGTTTTCACGGCGCTGACTACTCTCGTATTAAGAATGCCGTCTTCTGGTATGTGACGCCGTGTAGACAAAGTATAAACCGACGTTTAGAAGGGACGTATCGCCTCCATTTTCAGGGTAGAAGACAAAAGAAAGAAAAAATCCGAGAGCGAGGGACCAGCGTGAGCATGTAGCTGCTGCGGATTTCTCTTTTTTCTTCTATCCTGAAGATGGAGGCGATACGTTCCTCCGAAATGTTGTTTTATACTATGTCTACACGGCGCCATATCCCAGAAGACGGCATTCTATATCGTGGTATAATTTGAGGCGTATCCTGGTATTTCCGTGATGAAACCTGCAAAAATAATCATTCAGGATTGCCGGCCTCCGGGCCGGTACCTGAACTCGGAACCTCCCGAATAAGAGGAGAGGCAACGAGTCGAGGCGGTGACTCGGCATTTGATTCATCTCAGAGTAAACATATCAGTGACCATTCTTGCTTGTACGGCCATTGTCCACTCTGGTATCTGCGCCACTGAGTGTAATTTTCATTTTAGCCCCGATGATGGCCAGCGCAGGGTACCTGCTGATTGACACTCGATTCCTAACTAATGTCCTCCCCCCACAAACATAGACACCCAGAAGAAAGCAGTCTTCTGTGATGTAGCGCCGTGTGGATATTGTGTTAACCGACGGTCCTCCTAAACATTGGTTAACACAAAATCTACACGGCGCTACATCCCAGAAAACTGCTTTCTTCATAGTCACCGCCGTGAAAACTTCGAATCTTACATAGACACTCAGGGTTTTGACTTTATTAACTCTCGGAACAGAAAACTTCCATGCAGCAATCCAGACTTACTCCTGCACCTCCTGGTCCCTGTGACTCATTAAGCATTACGTCATACGGCTAGGGCCGCGCCATAGCTCAAGCGGTTAGTCGCTGGCTTCCCACCGCGGCGGCCCGGGTTCGATCCCGGGTCTGGTCAAGTGGGATTTGTGGTGGGGAAAGTGGCGCTGGGGCGGGTTTTCTCCAAGTACTTCGGTTTCCCTTGCCAATCTTCATTCCACCAATTGCTCCACAGTCACCCTCACCTATCATCTGGGGCTGGTACAATAGGCCAGAAGTGGCTGCAGTACAAGGGACTTAGTCCCACCCTACTAGCAATAAAACAAAGCCACACGGCTATATCTCGATGCGTTCCTAATCTCTACATTAGATGGATATCAGTGGAGAGTTTCACGCCCTGGCACCTTTAACCCCGGGAGAAAGAATTCCAGTACCATCTTAAACGATGCTGTGTGGGCCCCAGAACCGATTGAATCTCGTTCGTCCATCCCTTAGCTCAGAAACTGTACTGAATGAAACATCCCTGCTCCGAAGTTAACACATAAAACCGAAAAAAGAAACCAGATGTCGGCCCCCGGTCGGATTTCGAACCACATATCCCTGACTACGCCTCAGAAGCTCACACCAGTACGTTGGGTCAGACTTTGAAACATTTGGTTATGTTCAGAAATGCACTTCTGACGCAAGGAGTTCCTTTTTACCTTGGTAACCACTGACCTCTGAACATTACGGTACAAAGCCGGTTATACAAGACAGAGGGTGGGGGGGAACGTGTTCATTACAACTAAGGTCTTTCGGTGTCATATGTTGCTCTGGTTTACATATTATGTAACCTAATGCAAGCCGGGTAAATGTCAGGTTGGTGTGTATGTAACCAGAACATACTAGAAATGTAGACGAAACAAGCATCACACCTCCATTCCATAACCACTTTTGAGACATATCCGTTTTTTTTATTCTTGCCGAATTTTCTCGAATAAATTGCGCATGTTTCCCACTAAATATTGGCTACTTGCCGAAAATCTGACTAAGTACTGTGTTCGCATAAGTAAAAAGATCGATTTCACGATTTCTAAACCTATTTTCACATCGCTNTCACCCTCACCTATCATCTGGGGCTGGTACAATAGGCCAGAAGTGGCTGCAGTACAAGGGACTTAGTCCCACCCTACTAGCAATAAAACAAAGCCACACGGCTATATCTCGATGCGTTCCT